GCTCATGGGAAGTGGATTTGGGTTTGTTGTTGAGTGTCTGGCGTGGTGTTGGGCGGCCGAACGGCCAGCACGGCGAGACATTGGAGCTCCCGCGGAGCACATTAGTCCCTTTTATTATTTATTTCTCCATCTACTTTATGTTCTTCGCCTCGAGCTCGAGTTTCATTTTAATCACAGTTTACTTTATATAGCTTCTCCACTGCCGCCGCCGCCGCCGCCGCCGTCTCCCCACTGCAGTCTGATGCAGGTTAATTGAAGGGAGCTGCTGTGGGAGACAGGGAGATGAACTGTAACTATCAATATGGGCCAGAGCCCACTTACCACTGCTCTACCTGCAGGAGCTAAATATAGCTTTAATATCATTAATGAACATGTCTCAGTCTCCAACTTAAACCTGCACTTACATACAGTCATACAGTGCAGAGCTTTGTCTGGGTTTCATGGTCAGTGTAGTGCAGCTTGGTTTGAATATTTCTACCATAACAATGAATGAAATGATAAAGTTTGATATTTTCTCATCACTGGACTCTGTGGAGGGTTTGTGTCTTTCAGCACTTTTAGTTTGTGGCTTCACTGTTTTGGTTTCGGTCTATGTGTCCTGGATGATTTCAGTACCCCGGACATTATCTGTGTTTAATAAACTTAAAAACAATTAATAAGCAGGCTTTATAAACTTTGAAAACTAATAAAAAATGACCTGTTACTGGCTCATCTTACTCCTTACACTTGCTCTCAGCAGTGACGTGTGCAGCTGCTGACTGAAAGTGAAACCTTGTTGATTGTTAACCAGCTCTGTGTGAGCGCAGTGTGTGCACATGAACAGAGTTTGGCTTCCCTTTGTGTTGGCTCTGTCACCTGCTGGACTGTTGTCAGTGGATGGCAGGAAGCTCCAGATGCTGGCTGCAGGGGCGAGTAGGTAAAGCTGCAGCTGGAGCAGCAACAAGACTCGACCATCGTACGTACACGTCAGTCCACCATCAACCCCTTTGCCCCTGCGCCCAGAGGAAGAAAGCGTTAAAAAAAGACTGAGATAGTGTAGCAGAGCTCCAGTAATCATCAAGTTGACGGGTTTATCTTGTTACCACCGGTGGGCGTGGTTTGTAAAAGCATGTTGGGTAAACTACAAACAGAATGTGTCAACAGCTGTAGACGTCTGCTCACTGGGGGGAACCAAAAACCATTATCTGCACACACAGTGACGACAAATTGGCATCCTTTTCCTTTAAAATAAGCGCTGACGAATAGAAGGAGTTCCTCTCACTGGGTTATAGACCCAGAGATATTTAAATATGTTGGACTGTGTTGAAATACATCAGAAACCCTGACTCTCACAGCTCCTATAAAACTGGTTCTCCAGCTGCAGCAACAGAATTAGCAATGTAGTGACGCATCTAGCCGCTAAAGAGCCAGATCTTTTTCTCAGGAGTTGGAAACAAAAGCAGAGCTCATCCCGTGAGTCTACGTGTACGCTAATGTTGCTCAGTGTTAGCTGGCTGTAAATAAACACTTTTTAATGTAATCAAAGGTCAGTGTTGTGACATGTCGTGTAGCACTGTCCCCAAGTGGCCTAAGATCTTTTAATGCAGGTTATACGATGCATTAAAATATATTTTCAGATGAGAGAAGAACATCAAAACAGGCTGACACTCAGTCCTGACTTTAATCACTGTATTTAGTGTTGAGCTGACATGTCGCTGCTTTGCAAACCTGTCTGTGTCCAGCTGATGGACGTCAGTCTACTTACAGCTCTGCTTTGGTCTCCACTGTCTCCTGCGGCTCTTCAGCTGCTAAATATTCAATTCTCTTCTCTAACTTTGTGTGTCTGCCATTTCTTGCTGCGGAGGTCGTGCACACTGAGCGAGGCTGTTGATTAGTGGAGCATTCGAACAGTCAAACATGGCATCATGAATGTGGCAGATTATTTTCCTCTGCAGTGTTTTTGGCAGCACAAACAGTTCTGGCAGCGTGAACAATCAAAAAACAATCATGCACACTTGTGACAGTCTATGAATAGAAGTTTGATATAAAAGCAATAAAAGAAATCCCAGGATAATGTGCAGATGTTTGACTCGCTCATTAGGCTGTGGATAGCACTGCTCAGTCTGCCGCTTTCACTCATTAGCAAGAATTTATGCAGAGGCTAATCATCCAAAATCATGAACTTCCACTCCTTCAAGCGTAGTCGATATACTCCATGATCTGTGAAATAAGAGATCTATTTATATGCCTTCAACAGAAAGGAGCACTCAGCGAATTTTATCTCAACATTTTGTCCCCAGAAACATTTTGGCAGTTCTTTAAGTTCTTATTAAATGTGCTTATACATTGTTTTTTATCATTTAAATTCCTAAAGAGCTAAAAGAGCTATATTCTCTCCACCGAGGATCTGAAACAGAAATGTGATTAACACAAAACTATATTTTCCCAGCAGAGTTCCTCACTGAGTCTCGGGGCTATACAGTTTTTAGTCCCTTCTGCTGAGCTTTAATTAAAGCAAAATGAGGATCCAAAAAAAAAATACATGAGGAATAATATTACTGCAGGACAAATTCATACCTGGAAATGAAGTCATCCAACACTGCATATACGTGGGTTGTTAAGATGGAGCCTCACAGTGGAGCAGCCTCGGCTCAGAATAAAATGTTGGCATTGTGTTTCTGCAAACAGCAGATATGTTTTATTTGCACTTTATTGTGTAGCAGAAAGATTAAAATGTAATGTTTTAAACAATGTGTGGTTAAGTTAATGCACAAAATCCATTTGGTTATGATTTGGAGAAAAAAAATGTTTTGGCTTAAAATATCTGGTTTTGTTGGCACAGACAGGAGAAACAACGATGTCTGTAAAAAACAGCAGCTTCTTGTGAGGCTGTCTCGCTGAAAATGCTGAAGTGGGGGGGGGGGTCACAAAACTACTAAATTTGGAGCCTAAACTGGTTCCTGTAGATCTTGGTTTAAAAATGTTTAAAATAAATCTTTCAAAAGATATGAGATGTATGATTTTATGATTTTGTTTCCTGTTACATTACATTGTGAATTTGTGAAATAATTAGCAACATCTATTTTATTTTATTTTTAAATAGTTCCCAAATTAGCTCTTGCAGTCAGGTCACCAGATCAGGATAACTGAACCAACAACACTCATATTTTTTTAACATCCGGATGCTCAAAGCAGAGATTCACTGTCTGCTAACATACTGTCACTGTACCCTGGATGACACGGGGGAGTGCAGCCCTGATTCCAAACAAGTTGGGATGTTGTGTAAAACATGAATAAAATCAGAATGCAGTGATCTCTTTGACACACAGTGGAGTAAATAAGTATTCAACACGTCAACGTTCTTTTCCGCTGCACATTTTTTGAATGCGTCAATCTGTTCTCATGAAGTTTAGACCAGACGTTGGTATTAACTCAAACAACAACAACCCTACACTGATAAAGAAATTGTCGCATTTCAGTCCATAAAATGATGTGCAGAAAAGTGGAATGAAACTGTAAGCAAGATTTCATGTTGTGGAAAAAACAGGTACAGGGCCGTGCAGATGAGGCTTGGTGTATTTTATGCAAAATGTTTTTCTCACTCTGCATGATGGGAATCTAAGCAGAGTGAGAAACACAAACTCTGCAAGAAAACTCATCAACAAATGTGAAGTATCTCCTGGCTCTGTTCTACCCTCGTCTCCACCACACGACAAGAACGTCATGTTTTATGTCGTAATAAACATTTGGGCAAAACTGTCGCTGACCCCGAGTGACTGATGTCAGATTGTGTTTGTTTGTTTGTTTGTTTCTTAAATTTCATTCCGATTGGGATTAAAAAGAAGTCTTGAATCTAAGTAATCCTATAAAAAGCTGATACAAACACGACAACTCTCTAAAACCTGGTCAGCTTATATATCATGTCACTTTAGAGACGTTGATTCTGTCTGAAACATACAAACGTATTGGTGGTTTGTAGAAAGGTACACTGCCAGTGTTTCCTGCCGGTGTCTGGGCTGCTTCACTGGTTCCCTCGATGTTTACTGTTTGTCTGAGTCCTCCGTTTGGCTCCTGGAACACTGACCCAGTTTACTGTTGACTCCTGGTTGGCCTCAGTTGGCGGGCTCCTCCGAGTGTTAGGTCACAACTGTGTCCCACTGGCCGATTGTCCTGGGAAGGCAATTCATAAGATGTAGATCATTATGGGCTGTGGCTTCTCTGGTGCATGACAACAATCCCTCTGTGAGGGGAGGGAAAGAAATAAAGATGGAGGATCAGATGGATCGATGTTATTATAATAGCAGAGTTTTTACTTTCCGACACTTAGGCAACCTTCCTACTTGGGCAGTGAGATCAGAGAAGAGGAGGAGATGGAGGAGGATGAGTAAAATGAGGCCAGTGACACCCAACAGGGGGTCCCCTGGCACCATGCACACACACACTGCTCACGCCAAGAAGAGGGACATCTCTCAGCCTTCTCAACGAGAGCCAGTGCAGCTCTGGTGGCCAAACAGCATGTGTGTGTGCACATGCATTAGTGTGTTTGCAGTGCAGCCGTGCAGTGCTGCAGCCTGCATCCATAATTAAGCCCAAGACACAACCATCAACAGGAATATAATTGGCTGGTAGAAGTGAAAGGGGTGGGGGGGTGGGGAGGGGGGAGCGGAGGCGAGTGCTGCAAACTTTCCGAGCGAGAGATAGAGAGAGGGGAAGAAAGAAGGAGAAGATGGAGAGAAAGCCATTTACATGCTAATGCCGTCCTCAGCCCTTCAACTGCCTCGTTGGGTGCCGTGCCCGCTACCCTCGAATAAGCTCTTGGCTGGCAAGCCGGTCGCCATGTTTACACAATAAACAAACAGCAATGAGGTTAAAGTCTTTTCATGCATCTTTTTGTGCTTGCCTACAGTATTAGCAACAGTCAGTTGTTGCGTAACTGTTTTGTCGTGTCTGAAGGACTCAGCTGACTGCTTTTTGGCCTCTTTGTCATCCCTGGGCTTTTTTTTCTTGTTTTTGTTTCCTAGGCGACAGAATGGGCACCGGACGAGGAAACCAGGAGGTCCTGTCAGAGCAAAGGCAAAACAGAGGTAACCCCGATCCCGCCCCCAATTACAACACTTCATGTCTGCCGCACTGAGAGGCCATCTTGATATCTGGTGGCTGTTGTGGCGAGGTCCTTTATGGGCCTCATGGGAGGACTCTGTACAGAACAGCTATTTCAGACCCTTCAATCAAGAGTTGTTTTTCTAGCAGTGAAGAGAGAGGGCAAAGGGAAGGCAGGGAGACCGTGAACACCAGAGACGAGGGCGAGATAGTGACTCACAAAAGGATTTCCTTTCAAATCTGTCTGATAAGCGACGCTGCGATCAGCTGTCGCATTACATTTATTTTGTGAGTTACTGATTGCAGCAGCACCTTTATCTCCCTCAGCGCCTATAGAGCCAGGCCTGATACCTGATACACAAAACAATCAATTCTCTTTGAAACCTCCTTCACTGCTATTACCTCACTTCTTCTCCACAACACAAAGCTCCGCCATGTACAACCAAATGATACACAACACGTTTCATTACCAATAAATCTATTTCAGGCCTTTGTTAAAACAGATTTGAATCTTTTTACTGAAACACATACTTGACTTAGTGTAGAGCCTGTCGATGCCACAAATAGGCCTCCATTCAGCTGCAAACCAGCATTCTTATTTTTGAACAATGGACCTGCTGCAGACACTCAGTTGCTGTGCTTTTGGTTGCATGCCAGTCTGATACCAGAGGACTGGCTCCATTGTTCTTCTCAGCAACACGTCAAAGAATATTTAGCCTGCCACCTCAGCTCTTCTCTGCTCTGCTCTAACTTTCTGAACTCTTTCTTCTTCACCCTCTTCTCTGCAGATTGAATGTCAGAACTACATCAGAGTCTTGTTGGTGAACAAGACGGAGGTCATGACCTGTGGAACCAATGCTTTCCAGCCGCTGTGTATTACCAGAGAGGTATGAGTGTGTGTTTGTGTCTTTGTAGGAAACCTGTGAGAACACAGTAGATTTAACCTTCTGCTCCCCGTCTCTCCCTCTTTGTCTCCATCTCTGTATCTTGTTATCCGTGGCAGGTGGGCAACATGAGCAGCGTGCTGGAGCGGGTCAATGGTGTGGCACGCTGCCCGTACGACCCTCGTCACAACTCCACAGCGGTGGTGACAGAGAGCGGAGAGCTGTACGCAGCCACCGTCATCGATTTCTCCGGCCGTGACCCCGTCATATACCGCAGCCTGGGCGGCATGCCGCCTCTCCGGACCGCACAGTACAACTCCAAATGGCTCAACGGTACAGTCACACAGCAACAACTACAGCATGTGATGTGCTGCAGCTGATGATCACTCTTGATTATAGAAAGAAAGTGTTGCACACTCTGGCTCCATATATGCTACAGACCACCTCAGTGGAAGCAGAGTGGGCAGCAGCTCTAGGGACAGACCCCAAGTCAGCAACCTGAATCCAACCAGCACAAAGCTCAGCTCGGGGATCGGACAGCCCTGACTCCCTGCTGGATCAGCAAACTTTCTGTTGCTGCCGTTACCCAGGTTGGACCCTATGCTGCTGCTGGACACCTGGCGCTGGGGGGTTGCGCTTGCTGAATTCCAAAGCTGCTGCCCACTCTTCTCCTGGGGAAACGGTCCACAGCGGCGGGGAGTGAGGCGAGGAGAGGCTGAGTGAATCTACTGTGTGCCGCTGTACAATGAAATAAGATTAAATTAATCAGTGTATGGGAAACACTGGGTTACTGTATGAAGCGCGGGCATATACTTGTGGTCTTGTGGTGGGAGGAGCTTAGGACAGAGAGGGGGGAGCTGCAGGAGGAGGGGCTATGTTCAAATTCTGCCCTGTTTTTCTTTTTCCAGATTTCCTTCCCTGTTTAAATTTCCGTTGATTGACTCAAGTTCATTGTCGAGATTTTAAAAATACGAGGCTTTAGGGTTTACTGGTTTGTGTTCGAGCTCTGTTTCGATCAGGAGAGAAAATATTATGTATTTACACATGAGAAATGTGGTGACTAGACCCCATTATGATGTCATATATTCCAGGAGGGTGGTAAATGTGGATGTGAAGAGGAGTGGGCTTCGATGAGCTGGTCCTGGGCTCTGGATCAAGTGACTGGAGGTGAATGGGGTCTAAAATGACAGCTGACAGGAGCAGAGAGGAGAACACGTTTAACATTTGGCAGCAGCGACATGATTGGCTGAAGGAGATCGTGGCAAAGTTTGATTGGCTAACCAGGAGAGGGAACACCCAGAATTATCTGACTGGAGGAAGCAGTGGGACAGAGAGAGAACTGTGAATGGATATAAGATAAAGTCTTCATGACTGAACTCACGCTGAGCTTCATTTCCTGTTTTACAGGGTCACTGTTTAATATCAGGCATGAGAAATATAATCTGACAGGATTAGTAATTTGATCTGGTTTAAACTCGTTAGATTCCAAATTATCCACACAAGGTTAAATTCGTGTCGAACCATCTCTGTAAATTCCTGCAGTTCCTTTAAACATTTTCCCAGAACCCGCTCGGAGCAGCAGACGGGCCAAGTGTGCACTTTCTCTTCCAGCACAATCGGCTCTTTTGTTACAGCCAAGATGGATCAATCTGACAGAGGTGTTTTCAAAGGATTACAAAGACTGTTGTGATTTGGACTTGTGTGTGGAACACAGCGTACAGGTCAGGCATAGGAATTGGTTGGATTTATAGAATGGTGGAGGACATGAAATGCTGTCAGTCCTGCTAGTGTCGGTGTCAGTAATCTCCCTGCTGCTGACGCTGTGCCTTTTCTCTCCCCCGAACACGCTGCAGCAGAAATCCATTCACACACATCCTGACTCCAGCAGAAATGTAGATGGACCCTCCACTGGAGGAGGCTGTCATGTTCAGCCTTTGATATGCAGAAACGCTCAGATTACCGGATTCATGGTGGTATATAGAAAATGGAAGTGGGAGTTATTTTAGGCATCCATTGTTCTGGAAGGAAAGGTCAGATTCATTTTCTGCATCACAGACAGTGTGAGGTGGCGCTTTAAAAACTCGGGTGGACACGAAACTCTTCTGCTTGAATCATCAGTATAAAAGATGAGCAGCTGTGTTGGAGAATATCTGGTTCCTTTATGAAAGAAGTCGCAGGTGTCAGCCTGTGGACGCAGGATCGCAGGGAGACAAGTCAAGTACGGTTCTTCAGTCACACTTAGATTGATGACATCCAATCACAGAGCTGAATACTCTGCTGTGTGTGACACTAACAGTCATGCTCTTTAAATACTGGATAGTAAATTTAGTTGGCTCTGATCACACAGAGTGCTTTTTAGCAGCCTGGGGCAGCTTTTTATAAATGTTTTAAATGAGTGAAGCACTTTGTTCTCTGCTTTAACATCATGAGGCACCTTGCATTTTACCACGCTGTGCCTCTGAACGACTCCAGTTACAAAAAACTTATTTTCCCATTGTCTGATCAGATAAATTGAGAGGCGGAGATTTGGGGGGGGGGGGGGGTAACCACAGAATTTGGTTTCAGTCTAATACCAAGTCATCGCTGATATTGATACCAATGTGATACTTTTAATTATTTAAATGTGGCATATTTGCATGTCCCGTTGTTTGCACGGTTTTACTCTTGAAATACAAAAAGGTACGATCTAGAGGAGACAAACTGATCTCTTTTTTGTTAGCTCATTTTCCATGCACCCCAGGTAAGCTGCAAGACACACCTGAACATATTGTTTAGGCTCAATGATTGAGAGCAGATCAAACTGTCAGACTGTCTCTGACTCATCATAAAATAAGCCTTGAACCGACCATCATCCAGGCGGAGCTCCTGGCAGAGCTGTAACCGTGTCCAACACTTTACAAAGACAGTAAAGCCCGTTTGTAGGAGCAGATCAGCTGGACTCTGAGTGTTGCCAAGTGTTGTGCTTTTACCGCCGTACTCAATGGGAGCTTGTTCTGTCAACTCTGCTAACACAGCGTTACCTTAGCTACCTAGCTAACGTTAAGGTCAAGATATTATTGTCATAGAAGCAGAACCCACACACAGCACCCTGACACTTCCTTTCTGCAGAAGAAAAACGCTTTGTGGACACAGGCTGTTTATAAACTGCCCATCACACCTGCCCAGAGTCCAGAGTGACCTCTTCAAACTGCTCGTTCAGTCCGACCTGCAGTCCTGAAGATACTGAGTTAATGAAATGAAACGTAGAACAGCTGACTGTCACAGAACCAACAAAACGTTTGACATTTTCTGCTTCATAGAAGACTTAATCGATTAATCCATCATCAGAGGTCCTGGTGATTAATTTTCTGTCCTGTGATGAAAGCTTTAATGATCAGCACCTGACATATTCAGGTATGTCAAAGCAGCTGTGTCAGGATGAGAGGCAGGTTGGATTTGAGAGTCGGACAGAATAAAGGTTAGACAGGATGGAGAGGTGGGAACGGGAAGATTGAATGCAATCGAAAGTGGGAGAGTGTGAATGTGTGTGTGTGTGTGTGGGGGGGGGGGGGGGGGTTTGGAGAAGAGTTGCAAGGCAGGGAGGAAGATGAGGATGAGAGGGAAGCAGAGGAGATAGACTGAGGAGTCAGTGAGCGATGTAATTATTCCTCACGGCAGGGAGAGGGTGAAATTACAACACAGCATGCTTCACACCGCACAGGTCTCTGCCCGTGTGTGTGTGTGTGCGCACGAGTGTGTGTGTGCTTGTGTATATATGTATTTAGACTGTACACTTCCACATGTGTCCAGGTTACGTGTGTTTGAAAGCGACACACAAAGTGATAGAGTATGTGGGAGGAAAAGAGATGAGCAGCAAAGCGCTTAGTGTCCTCATCAGCATAATCACAGCTGGCTGCACACACACACACGCACGCACGTTGCTCTCCAGCTACATACGTTCATGCCGCCACAGCGCACTCTTCTCCGCGGCCTCTGTGAGGGTTATGGAGTTGAGTTCCCGGTGGATTTGGGGTGTGAATGAAAATCTCATTTCCAGCTCTAAGCCTCTCCAGTTGAGGAGAATAGAAGGCAGGGAGGGGGTCCTGGATCTAATCAATCTGTTCCCTTATTGGATTGGTAGCCTGCCAGGCGCCGACCAACTGTTTCCCATCATGCATCTGAATGACACAGCGAGGTATAGAGTTGTCTCTGAAGTAATCCAAACAATGTCTCTGCGCTTCTCACAATCCCCCGAAGACTTTATAGGTAACAACATATTTATTTATATTTCTGCTGTTTGCTCCGACTCTCCGCTCGTCTCTTATAAAGTGTGTGTTGGCATAAAGAACGTCAAATAAAACTGTGGGAAGAAAATTCTCAGTCCTGAGTATAACCACGGCAACACGTACAGACACAGGTCCGTTCAACCTCAGGGTTTGATGCCTCTGTGCCCCCGACAGCTGTGGAGGGAGGCATCATGTTTTTGGGTTGTCTGTCCGTCGGTACATCCTTCCATCCGTCCGGCCCTCCGTCCGTCCATCCGTCCATCCGTCCATCCGTCCCAGTCTTGTATACACAGTATCTCAAGATACCGTCTTTAAATTTGGCACAAACGTCCACTTGGACTCAGCGATAAACTGATCATATTTTTGTGGTCAAAGGTCACTATGACCCTGTGTCCATCCCATTATTGAGAACGCAATATCTGAAGAACAGCTTCTTCAAATTTGGCACAAACGTCCGCTTGGACTCAACAATGAACTGATTAGATTTTGGTGGCCAAAGGTCACTATGACCTTATGTCCATCTCATTCTTGTAAAATCAAAAATTCATTCACTAATTTTGACACAATTTCACACAAATGTCTAGTAAAATTGTGAAGATGTGTGTGAAGCTTCAGAATTTAGAATTCGTAGCTTCTTTGCAGCAGCTTCCAGATTTGAAGTGTCGTCTACAGTCACGGCTTCACACGAGTCTGGACAGACGTGGATGAAACTGCAACTCAACTGGTTTGCAGAGGAGAACAACCATGAGGCTGTAAATGCTGCAAAGCGCTATTTTAAGCTCACAGAAATTATTACATTTACTAGAGATATGATTAATTAAATGTCCCATAGTATCAGTACCCTACACTTACTGTGATGTAATAGACCGGCATGTTTTGGTGAAATCCACGTGAGGTTTGAGACGGCAGAGCGGCGCTAACGTCAGTATGTTTTGACGATGTGTTCTAACGTCATCACTTCAAGAGCTACAGGTCCTTGGAGGCTCACAACTTTTTCTTACCTGTGGCTTAACAGTCTACCCTGAATTCACCGTCACCAAACTCCACCAGACTGCATTTAACTAAACAGTTTTTTCAGCATGTATAGAGGCAGCAGAAACCGAAGGTGGTGACTGTTAAACTGTGGAATGTAAAACCAAGATGCTTTCTGTGAGATTTGTGATGCAATGACACTTTATTTAAAAGGAGTCTGGTGGGTTTGGCGATACGGTGATATCGGGGTTGTTTGTGGTCAAACCAAAAGGATGCTAGACTTTGACAGAAAGGTCGACCTCTGTAGGGATCACCAGCCAGTCAATTGGTGCATCTCTGAAAACGACACCAAGTGGTTAAAACAATCTCAAGTTGACTTTTGGTTTCATGGGACAGGAACACCAGTATCCTGTGTGTGTTTGATCCATCTGTCACCGCTGCCGTTTGTACTTCGATCCTCTTGCTCTGTATACTACTTATTGTTACAGACAGGATTATAATGGACTTAATTAAAAGTGCATGTGTTCTATAGAGATGCTGTGAGGTGCCTTGTGCATCCAGAAGCAAAGGGCCTCTCACCAGGCTGCCGTAGTCGAGGCTCTGGGAATGAGACCAGGTTGATAACAATCATTAATGCACCGTTTTAAATTCAAGCTGAATCTGTTTATATGAATATTAAATCACCTCAGTCTGTAAACCTTATCTGTGTTTGATCTGAAGCGTCATGTGATGTTAGTGACGGCAGCCTCACTCCTCCAGCACCTCACCGGCCTGCCAGATTGAACAATCTGTTTACCGCTCAGCGGGGTGCAGGAAAAACTCGTCACATTTGTACCCACGCAGCTTCAGTAATATCATGCAGAATCTGTCAGCTCCACCTGCCCTTCGCCTGACACGTGTACAGTATGCATAAACACAGGTATGTAAACACAGAAAGACTCCACACACAGCAGCTGAGGCGTGCTGCGCACACACACACACACACACACACACACACACACAGTTTACCCAGCGTTACATATCTGGAACATGCACAACACAATTAGCTCCTTCACACGGCCGTTAGCTGCAGGGCGAGGAGCACGGACACATCATGATGGTTGTCTCATTTACAGTAATTGTCAGGGACCCAGCAGACGTGACTCCTGCTCATCTGAATGCTTGTTAGCACCAATTAACTCTCTGATTGGGGATGTGCGGTCCAGTTTGGTTTGTTTTTGTCACATATGTGAACTTTAAATGAAACCTTTGGGTGTCGTGCATAATGATAATAATAATGATAATTAATCTGCTGCATTTGTTCTATTTTCGTTGCCGTTTCTACTCGTTAAGCCTCTGATTATAAATGCACTGACCGACGACCTCCACTTCATTAAATGTACACTGGAAAAGTTGATTAGATCACCTGCTAAATTAGCTGCCGCTGCCTTCCCACTTTGAACACAGTCGCTCCACATGTTCTCACAGATTAACGACACTCATCAGACTGTCAGGACTTCTGCACTCACCGTCCCTTTAATATGTAACGTGATTACAGTTTCTCGCCCCAAAATGTCATTTTGTTGCTTTCACCATGCAGCATGGATGGATTAACAAACAGGCCTGCTGGACATAGGTTCAAGGACCCAAACTGTCGGAGCATCGAGGTCATCACTTGTGAAGTGTCAAATCAACATGGACTAACCAGGGAGAGACTAATAATGACCACAATGAAACACAAATGAACTGCAAAGAGACAAAAATCAAATGCAAAAACGGGCAAAACCAACACATTAGATACAAAATGACGACAAAGACGCACAAAACAACCTCAATAAGACACAAAATTACATCAGAGAGACACGATCAAATACAAAAAGACACAGCAGCCACAAGGAGACAAAAAATGACTACAAAGAGAGAAAAAACACCAAAATGAGACACACATTTACCAAATAAGATCTAAAATCACCTCAAAGAGACCCAAACAACTACAAAGCAACACAATAAAACCACAAAGAGACACAAAATGACCCCAAAGAGACAAAAGATACACCAAAAAGAGACCTGATCAACTACAAACGACACAAAACAACCACTAAGAGACACATAACAACCTCAAAGACACAAAACAACTGCTAGGAGACACAAAAGTGAGAAAAAACAAAAGAGACACTAAATTGACCTTAATAAGATACAAAATCCCCGCAGAGACCCAAATGACTATAAAGCTACACAAAACAACTACAAGGAGACACAAAATGACTTAGAGATCCAATCAACAACAGAAAGACACAAAAGACCACAAAGAGACAAAAAATACACCAAAAAGGGACAAATTACCCCAATAAGATATAAATCAACTCAAAGAGACCCAAACATCTACAAAGTGGCACAAAACAACTGCTAGGAAACAAAAAAATACACCAAAAAGAGACAAATTTACCTCAGTAAGATAAAAAATCACTTTAAAGAGACCTTATCAACTACAAACGACACAAAACAACCACAAAGAGACGCATAATGACCACAAAGACACAAAACAACTGCTAGGAGACAAAAAAATAACCACAAAGTGAGAAAAAAAACCCAACAGAGACACAAAATTGACCTTAATAAGATACAGAGACCCAAATGACTACAAAGCTACACAAAACAACCTCAATAAGACACAAAATTACATCAGAGAGACTCGATCGAATACAAAAGACACAGCAGCCACAAGGAGACACAAAACGACCACAAAGAGACACAACCAGACAAAACGATGCATAACTACAAAGAGACATAAAACCACCACACCGTCTCTGAGTGTTTAGCCTCTGTGTAGAAGAGGTGGTGGGGCCCTTTGCGTATCTGTGCCCAGGGGCCCATTGTGTCATAACCTGCCCAAGATGAGGTCGGTCCGATCTGCAGGTTGTGTCTTATTACAGATGTAAGATGTGATGTGTGGACGGCGTCTTTGTCTCCTCCTGCTTCAGTTTAAAATGAGACACACTCCATCACAGCTGTTAACAGGTCGACTCCTCTGTGTGTCTGACTGTGTTTATAACTTCAGCATCTCCTTTATATTTTATGTAGTTATTTCTTTATATGGGTGAGCAGGCAGCGGGGCAAATTAAGGTTTATTCCTCCCTTTGTGTTTGTGCTGCTGAGATGAGGTGAGTGTGTGACATCACTCAGATAAATGGGTCCCAGTGGGAGAACGGCAGCACAGGAGTGTTTTCTCTGTTTCATCGCCTGGACTCAGTCAGCAGCTGATGAGGACACAGTTAGCTCAGTTAGCTCTGTTAGCTCTGTTAGCTCAGTTAGCTCTGTTAGCTCTGTTAGCTCAGTTAGCTCAGTTAGCTCAGTTGTAGGAATTAAAGGGAGATATGGGCCGTAGAGATGTCTGACTTCTCTCCAGTATAACAGAACTAGATGACACTCAGCTTGTGGAGCTCAAAACTCAACATCAATGTCTCTGTACAGAAAATCATGACTTGGTTACTCAAGATAATCCACAGACCTTAGCTGGCTAACGTTACAGCTCAGATGAGGAGTAGCGCCCACAATATTTGCATCTCATGCTGTCACGAGCACGAGCCTCTCGTCTGTGAGACGACACACGCCTCCTACATGAAACTGCTCACAACAACGTGTGTAGATGATCTTGAGTTTCAGTGGTGACCTCGTTGGCCTCTGAGCAGATCTTATTTCAGGTCTCTGTGGGAGCTGGTTCCAGTAATTTTAACCCATTTTGTTTTAATACAGAAGGAGTCAGCTAAAAATGCTCCGTACATCCAAGACATAGTTTTGTTCTTTGAGTTATTCATTTGTAGATTAATCAGCAGCTTCTCAGCTGCCTCGGGATCTCAATAAGGTCTTCTGTTTTGTGTAGAAATGTCCTTTTTTATTTGTTTAAAGACTCCATGGTTTGTCTTTATTGATCAAAAAACTGATGCAGATGAATTAAGTTCCTAAAGTCTGTGTCCATGAGGGATAAAGTCCCACATGGACCTGACGGGACTGAGGGCTGAAATGCAGCAGGGAGAATCTTGTTCTTTGCACTTCGCTCCACATTAAAATGTGAATTCAGCCCATTTGTCGTAGGAAAGGCAGCTCTGCTAATTCATGCTGACAAACTGATTTCTGCATCATTGATCCATACAGTGAGTGGCTTCAGCTGGGTGGACAAGAAGTACCTTTGCATGTGAGAAAGCACTGAAGCACCTTTTCAAGTGTAGTTTTTAAATGCTGTGAGCACCACAAACAAAACTCCTCTCACTTTAATTGTACCGAGGCGTCTGCAGAAAGGTCAGGTACTGTGCAAACATCTTGATAACTCTGCACATAAAAGCAAAATCACCTTCATAATGAGAGACAGAAATGGTCAGAGGGAAAATGTGATTTGGAGACTCTGATAGTTGAAGCCGTCACAAAGGCTACAGACGTGTTTGTTCTATCAGTCTCTGCATGTTGAGTGTGAGATTAACTTCAGATTTTCACCTCTTTTTTTTTCCTGCGTGTTCTCAGCAGTGAATCATTGTTTGGTGATGAGTCATGTGTTTACAAAAGATGACAGTAACGTCTCACTCAAACTGTTATTCAGTCTGCTTTACGTGATAACCCGCCCAGCAGGAGGTCCATTAATCATCTGCTGTGCCACCGAGGGCAGTAAAAGCAGCGTGGCCGTCCAGTTAAACAGACATAGCTCCATGGATTTACCATCAAAACATCAGACGGATTTATTAGTAACCATTTTTTATCTCCTCCTCTCCTCCCTCCGCACCCTCTCATCTCATTTATGCTTTTGACATTGAGGCTCTTTTCCAGAACATCTTCACCAGGCGTGCAGCACTAGAATTACAAACTTGTTTTTATTGCAATCAATAAGAAGGAGTGCAGAGGTCAAAGCAACAAAATCTACAAGATAAATGTTGCAAATATTTCTGTTTCCCTGGCGTCGCTGTGTAATGATCCTCCCCCTCCCTCTCTGCTTCCTCCCCGCAGAGCCCCACTTCATCTCAGCCTACGACATCGGCCTCTTCACCTTCTTCTTCCTGAGGGAGAACGCAGTGGAGCACGACTGCGGGAAGACCGTCTACTCCCGCGTGGCACGAGTCTGCAAGAACGACATTGGTGGGCGGTTTCTGCTGGAAGACACCTGGACCACGTTCATGAAGGCGAGGCTCAACTGCTCGCGCTCCGGGGAGATCCCCTTCTACTACAACGAGCTGCAGAGCACCTTCTACCTGCCGGAGCAAGACCTCATCTACGGCATCTTCACCACCAATGTGTGAGTACACGCTCCTGTATCACAGCACTGCATCTGTTGTACAGGAAGGATTCTTACACAGGAGGTTTCTGATGTGGGAAGACAGAAGCACATGTGACTGTGTTATAGTGCTGACAGGTGGATATTAGTGAGTGTGATGGCAGCAAACCAAAGTTCCTTTCAACCAGGGGTCACTACGAAGTCGTTGATAAACCAGTGCCTGGTCAGTGACCTCTGGTGTTAGACACTGTCAGAAAAGGAAAAGAATCATGTAAGACTGTAAAGCCAAACCCTGTTCTTTTTTCCTGAACCCAACCACGTGTGTGTGTTGGCTGAACGTAACCACGTGTGTGCTGTAAAGTTGGACATGTTAACATGGAGGTCTGTGGGGACTGACTCCAGTGGACATTAGAGGAACTGCAGGTTTTGTCACTTCTGCGTTGGCTTCGTCTCTCAGCCCTGGTGGCTGCCACTTGCTTGTGTGTCTGTTGTTTCTATGAGTCGTTGTTGGATGTGAAGTTGTAACATCAGAGCTCCTCTTGTACTCGACGCTCCACCTGTTGAGTGCTGCTCTGCACTCTGATTTGGAGATGGAGGTCTGCATGGCTGATTCAGCCACCTGCATTTTGTTTACAGATTATGGCTCTCCACTTTATTCATACTTTATGAAATATAATTAACCACACAGCTGATCTGAAGCTGCAGCTCTGGCATGAAAAGTAAAAGAAACAGCTTCAGCTGAAGTTGATGAAGTTGGTGTCACAGAAGTAACGGAGTTCAGAGCCTCAACAGTCGGTTGTTTCAGTAAAGACACACTCTTCAGTTTGGAAGCACAGATGTAGTCACATGCTGAAACTCTTGGGTTCCAGTTTTCCTGGAAAAGGGGAGTTGATTTTGAATCAGCTTCTCGGCAGCACTAGGAGTGTCAGTTCCCAGAATCTTTACTAACACAGATCCCTCCACAGTTTATTAAATCTGTACAGGCACACTGAAATGATTAGTCAACACCTTGTTCATTACTCACAAGTATCACTCATTCACACAGCTCCACTGTCACCTTTATTATTTCTCCTCTGGGAGCAGTACATTTATTAAAAGCTTAGTAACTCACTTTGTCCTTTACATTCCCCACGTCTGTAACTGCATACTTTCTTAACCTCTGTCACCCCGACTCCCCCAAACATGGACCTATTTTATCTTCTTCAGAGGGGACAGGGGATCTGTAGGTGGAGACAGCAGGTCAACAGTATATGTCACATAGAAGTGATGTACACCATCTAAAACCTGGGAACCTGAAGATGAATTTGAGATGCAGCTCAGTGCTGTGTCAAGTTCTTGTTATAAATATGTCAAAATCATTGTTTTGGTTTGGTGCCTATTTAAAGTTTAGAGTTTACAGGGGTTTAGGACATCACAGTGTAATATTATGATGGAAAAATATGATGGCCGATCCCATGATCAGTTATGCCTCAGCAGTGTTTGTGTTAATACCATTTGAAAAACAGATCTGGTGCTAAATTTTAGGATTAATCAATATGAGAACTGATAAAAATGGTAAAACAAAATCCCTCCAAAATCCCACATTAAGACACCAAGAGCTTGAGGAACACCGGAGAAAAAAATGCTGTGATTTGGTATCAAAAACTTTTGACATTTTGAGATTGAGATTTTTGAGATTTTCAGTGATTGATTGGAGAGTAACCCCCTAATTGTCAACCCAGTCTCACTCTGAAGTCATTGAATACTGGTGCCTGGTCAGCGACTTCTGGCGTCACACATCAGCGAAAAAAGCTGTCCTCTCATGTTGGTATGATATGTGGCCTGTCACTTATTTGATTTGATGGTGGCCGGTGGCGTCAGCAGGAAATAGGGTGAGACAACAACGAAAGTTAAGGCTGCAGAGGTCCAAGTAGGGTGGGCAGGAGGGGGGTGGATGGGTCCAACAACCAAGACTTTCACCCAGGAGGTCGTTGTTCACTTCCTGTAAGATTGTAAAGCCAAACCCTGTTCTTTTTTTCCTAAACCCAACCACGTGTGTGTGTGTGTGTGTGTCGGCTAAACATAACCAAAACAGACAATGCATGTAACAGGCTGAAGTTGACACGGCGTCCCAGAACGTCAACAACCAACACACCCAGGGTACCTTGGACGTCATATGTGGACGTGGAAAGTCCATGACCAAACGTGGACATGTGACGAGGTCACAGTGAGGATGAGGATGATGTTATTGTCCGTATACCTTTGAAAGCCACATGTCCTCTGAATGTTCCTGGTCTCTAGTTTGTGGTTGTGAAGTTTCATCCCAGAGGTCACTATAGGTCATTTTATACAGTGATGTTCGTTTAAAGAAAAGTGGTTACTATGGGGACCAACATCCTCACGCATGAATACAGTCGTGCTTATTGAATCCACGAGAGTCTCAACTTTCCAGTCAGACCCACTTCATGCAAATAAAAGAGTGTTCAGGGACCTGGGTCCTGTGGACTCTTTCATACAGCACTTGTACTGAAAGAGACGACTCTTTGTCTGTGACGATGCTCAGCCACTGTATTGAGATGTGCTCTGGTGACACAGCTGCCTGTTTAGGCACAGACATTAATGACAAGGTGTGAGGCAGCTTGAACACGTCAGAGCTCAGTGACCTTCTAGCCTTCCCAAGACACCTGCATCACGTCCTTGGAAACGCCACTTTAAAATCAGGACAAGATGCTGGAGACGCCTCTGACTCTCTTTAACCCATGAGTGGGATATGTACAGGAGTGACGTGATGTTCGACACCTTGTCCGACACCAGGATGTGATCTCATCCTGTCAGGAGGCAGAGCTGTCATAGACCAAGGTCCCGAAACAGCATGGTGTTTGTCCAAAAAGTAGGTATGTCTGCAAAGGAGAGACTCTTGGGAAATTATAGAACCCAAAGTTTCATATGATACAGACATGTTCACTGGAGCTTTAAAGCTCCGCCCACTTCAGCTTCTGAAAGATAGTAATATCGGCTGAGGACGCCCGCTGGTGTCGTGGCAGAGTGGAAGACGTTAAACAGCTGAGAGCAGATGATTAATCTCAGTAAACATGAGTAGTAACCTGATACAGTGTCTGTGTCCTCCAGTTGTGCCTTAATTCAATAAAATAAAGCAGAAGCAATACTTCAACTAGAAATAAAAAAAGTTTTCTGACATTTATCATCTGAATTAGCCGAGTGTGTGTGTGATGAAAACAAATTGAGGACTGAAGGTAGAATTAGTTTGAGAACGGTTCATCTTGACTCCGACATTCAGCCTCTGTTATGTGTTTGTTATATTTAATACGAGCTTTGGTTTGAACAGGACGATCAGAGAAGCATCGGGACGATAAAATGACTGTGATGTTCTTCTTATCTGTGCATTATCCTCAACACTGCCCTCACTGTCGAGTAGAAAGGATGAACAACTCTACAAAAACAAGCTGCAGCTGTGCTAAAGAGCCCTTCAACACCAACAAGAATATTAATGTGGCACACACACACACACACACACACACACCACAACACTTGATTTTTTTTTTATTTAGCCCTCAGATTTCATCACTTCATAAAGTTTGGTGCTCCGACACTCTCCCACCTTTACACAGAGACAATTTCCCAGCGTTTAGAGCCTCCCTGCTGCTGCTAATGATCAGTGTGGATGCATGCAGCTCTCAGCCGAGCTGGAAATACACACTGACTCACACTCCCTCTGGTGTTTGATTGCGCCAGGTGGGGGTGTCACACACTTCATTACAGAGAGGAAACACTGAGGGCCAGAGTGTGCACATTATGGTCCTTGTTATGCTTTTTATGTTCAGTAAAAGTCTAATTGCAGCACACGTTTGCATGACGAGAGAGCGGCTGCGTCTCTCTCTCAGTTTGCTCAGTCGGTCCAACACAATAATCCAGAGCAAGATGTCAACACAGATACTGGTTTTAATAATCAGTCGGCAGATTGCCACGAGATCTGTGTAAATATTTGTGCTCCCAGAAGGAATACTGGTCATTGCTTTGGTGAACTTTTATCTGGATGAAGCATCAGGTCTCCAAAACTCTCTGACCTGAGACAGAAAGCAAAGTAATATAAACGTGTTCAGTACCAACACTTATATGTCGTGAGCGGTAGTGAACAGTTCATCCTTTAGGGAATAAGAATATGTTAAAGAAGTGTTTCACAGCTGGAAAGATGGTCCTTTCATAAATACTTTTGAAGTACTTCCCTTACTTTGATGTCGGCAGGAGGAAAGATGACGAGAACATCGTTGTTAAATGTGAAGGTAGTGATACCAAGGGTGCCTTTACGCCTGCCCTCTTTGGTTCGGATTCGTCGGCTGCACATCCATGATGAAAATCTCCCGTTCCAGCACATCCCAAAGGTGCTCTATTGGACTGAGATCTGGTGACTGTGGAGGCCATTGGAGTACAGTGAATTCATTGTCATGTTTGAGATGATGTGAGCTTTGTGACATGGTGCGTTATCCTGCTGGAAGTAGCCATCAGAAGATGGGTACACTGTGGTCATAAAGGGATGGACACGCTCAGCAACAATACTCAGGTAGGCTGTGGTGTTTAAACCATGCTCAGTTGGTACTAAGAAAATCTCCCCCACACCATTACACCACCAGCAGCAGCAGCCTGAAGCGTTGATACAAGGCAGGATGGATCCATGCTTCCATCTGAATGTGGTTTTTCCAATCTTCTATTGTCCAGTTTTGGTGAATTGTAGCCTCAGTTTCCTGTTGTTAGCTGACAGGAGTGGCACCTGGTGTGGTCTTCTGCTGCTGTAGCCCATCTGCTTCAAGGTTGGACAAGGTGTTGTTGCTTCAGAGATGCTCTTCTGCACACCTTGGTTGGAACCAGTGCTTATTTGACTTCCTGTTGCCTTTCTATCATCTTGAACCAGTCTGGCCATTCTCCTCTGACCTCTGGCATCAACAAGGCATTTTGGCTCACTGGATATTTAGTCTGGAATCTTAAGTCATCTGAGTCTGATTCATGTGAGAGTATTACGAGTTGTT